CACACAGATACACACACACACAGGAAGTGATGTAATGAGTCATGTGACCTCTCTCCTCCTCAGACGAAGGAGTTCATCCACGCTGAACTGCTGGCTCAACTTTACTCCTGCGGAGACCAAAACACCCTGATGGAAGAGTCCCAGGAACAGGTGAGACACACAGACAGACAGACAGACAAGACAGACGAGACAGGTAAGAGTCCCAGGAACAAGGTGAGACACACAGACGACAGACAGACAGACAGGTAGAGTCCCAGGAACAGGTGAGACACACAGACAGACAGACACCTGAAGACTCTCCCTCTCTCTCTCTGCCTGTCTCACCCTCTCTCTGTCTGTCTCTCAGGCCCAGCACCGTGATGAGATGTTGAGGATGTACCACGCTCTGCGCGAAGGCCTCCACATCATCGGTGACATCAGCACGTCCACCATCACCACGACGATGCCTCCCCCAGTGGACGACTCCTGGCTACAGGTGACAGGGATGCCTTCAGGACGCAGGTAACCTAGTAACCACTCAGCTGTCTCCACGGATACAGTGAGTATGATCTGCATCATTGAGACACCCCGCTGGTCTCTGCCGGTCTCTGTAGGTCCCCCATGTCTAGTCCGACCCCCCAGCGTCGGGCCCCTCCAGGACCTCCTCGTCCGGGCGGTCGCGCGGCTCCTGGACCTCCGTCTCGTCCAGCAGTGTCACCTGACCCTGGACCCCTGCCCTCTGTCCCCTCCCGACCCAACAGAGCGCCCCCCCCAGGAGTCCCCAGGTACCACACACTGTTTGATCACAGCGTTTTTTAGTGGTTCAGAGTTTCTTCTTTGTTGGTGCTTTAGAACGAAGCAGTGATCCACAAACAACCTGCACGGACATGAAGAAGAAAGACCGCTCTCTTTCTTCCTCTCTTCCTCCCTCAGTTCATTCTCTTCATCTTCACTCTTCATCACTCCTCCAACCTTAAAAACAACAGTTAAGGATCCATGTTTAGCCTAGCTTAGCACACACAATGGAAGCAGAGGGAAACTGTGCATAGCTCCATCAGTTTTCTGTCAGTATTTAACACACTGTCACCATCCACATCCACCTGGAGCCATGTCTGTCTACCTGTCTACCTGTCTCCCTGTCTGCCTGTCTGTCTACCTGTCTACCTGTCTGTCTGTCTGTCTGTCTACCTGTCTGTCTACCTGTCTGTCTGTCTACCTGTCTGTCTGTCTACCTGTCTGTCTCTCTACCTGTCTGTTTGTGTGATCCTGTTCTAACAGTACCGTAGAAACAGGTAGCTCTCAGGTGTGTCAGTGTCAGAGCAGGTAGCCCCGCCCCCTCATATTGACCATATATGGTTATTCTTTCAGAATCTCTATCAGTGACCAGTGAGGAGTTCACCAATGGTACGTCAGCTGTCTGTGTGTCACTGTCTCTCACCAACTCTGTGTGTGTCTCTTCGTCCAATCAGATCACCTGTCCTCGCCATGTGACCCCACCCCCTCTCCCAAAGCATCATATAATTAGGTGTGTGACTGACAGCTCCATCGACCTGTTACTGACTGACTGTCTGTCTGTCTGTCTGTCTGTCTGTCTGTATCCAGTCGGAGGGCTCCTGCATCTCCATCCCGACCCTCCAGACCGGACTCTGAGTCCTCCCTCTGACACACACAATAAACACAATGAGGAGCACAAACACACATCAGAACCAGATCCTACTGGTTCCACCTGGTTCCACTGGTTCTCACCTGGTTCCTACTGGTTCGACCTGGTTCCTACTGGTTCCACCTGGTTCCACCTGGTTCCATCTGGTTCCATCTGGTTCTACTGGTTTAGGACGGGTCCAACAGGTTCCAACCATCCACATATAAAGATGGCCGCCGTCTCCACTTCCCCCCCACTGTACACAAATGAAGCTAAAATGTTCGGATATTCGGATTTAGAGACTGCGTGATCGGGTCGGGCGCTGCGGGCGTAAACCGATATATATCATAAAGTTCTTGACCCTCTCTGCTGCGATGTTGTTGTAGCGTCCACCATTCATTTAAACATATTTACACACTATTCAGTTCTGATAGCTACATCACTTTAGCTTAGCAGTTAGCAATCTTTCCCATATCTTTCTCTGACTCCTTTACTGTTAACAGAATAAATGTAGTTTTATTTTAGGTTTGAATGCGAGGCTTGAATTTGAAGCTAACTCGTTAGCTGCTGTAGCTATCAGCCCGCAGTGTGTAGCTCCTGTTATGGTTCTGTTGAATTAACAGAACTGTTTAGATTGTTCACTCTGTGTTGTAGTTGATTATTGGCTCCTTTCAGCTATATTGTTGACAGCCTTAATGCCAGCTGATTTCAGTGGGTTCAAACTGGTCCACTCGGTTCTTTCTTGTCCCAACAAGCCTCAGCTTGTTCCAGCTGGATCAAGCAAATGTTGGTTTATACTGGTATCATTAGGTTCCAGCTGGTTGCTACTGGTTCCACTTGGTTCCAAAAGGTTTCTACTTATTCCGATAGCTTATTCCAATATCTTCCTAATTGGTTCCAGTTGGGTTATACCATGGGTTACTGGACACTTGTGTCTGCTGGTTCCAGCTGGTTTCTACTGGTCCCAACTTGTTCCAGTTGGTTTCTACTGGTCCCAACTTGTTCCAGTTGGTTCTAACTGATTCCAACCAGTTCTGACCACTTCCAGTTGGTTCTTTCTTGTCCCAACAAGCCTCAGCTTGTTCCAGCTGGATCAAGGAAATTCGGACTGGTTTCCACTGGTCCAAGTAGGTCCAGCTGTTTCCAACAGACTCCTGGTTACATCCCAGTGGTTCCAGAAGGTTCCCTCTACTTGTTTCCAAATGGGTTATACCATTGGGTACTGGGTTCACATATCTGTTGGTTTCTACTTATTCGAATAGAAACAAACAGAGAATTGTTCATTGATTGCCGTGACCTTTGACCCTCGAACCCTCCTGCTTGTCTCTGTTGTTTCACAGTTGTCCTTTTGTGTTTTCTCTTTCTTCATGTTTGTTGTTTTTCCCAGTCGTCCCAGTAAAGGTAGCCCCGCCCACGGAGAGAGCCCCCAGTCGTCTATCGAAGGTTAACTGAACCGAGTGTTTGTGTGTCTGCTGATGCTGTGTTACTGTGAACCTTATTAATAATAATAATGATATTGATTATCAGCACATTATAGCAAATGATCAGCTATTGCAATATTGAGTGTCTGTCGTCCAGCTGTCTGTCTGCCTAGGAGAGTGAGACAGCTGTCTGCCTGTGTCCTCACACTCACATTATGACGTACTGTAGACAGAGATGGTGTTGAAGTGAAGACCTCTCCCTCCTCTCTGGATTTCAGCTAGCACTGTTAGCACCAGTTGGATAGCTGCATCACCTCCTGAAACAAAACAAGTTTATTTTTCTTCATGAAGCTGAAGTTCTTATTTATGATGAAATGTTTCTTTACAGTGTAAAGTTTACTCATTATTTATTGATCTATTTAATGATTTATTTATTATCTGCGGTTCTTGTTAAAGTGACATTATTGATGTTAGCTGTCATCCTGTTAAGGAAATGTTAGCATTGGTTTTAACCCATCCCAGCTGGTTCTAAAGGGTTTTAGCTGGTTCTGATTTGGTTCTAACTTGTTCCAGCTGGGCTCAGGTGGTTCCAGTTTATTTTAGCTGCTTGGTACTGGTTCTGTATGGTTCTGACTGGTTCCAACTTGCTCCCACTGGCTCCAACTATTTCCAGCTGGCCTCTACTGGTTGTAATTGGTTCTAACTGGTTCCAGCCGGAGTCAAGTGGTTCCAGTTGGTTCCTGGTTGTGAAACCAGTTAGCAGCAAACAGCCAACAACAACCTTCTATTCATACTTCATTTTTTGGGGCATTTACCAAAAGTTTTTGTGTGAGTTTTCTGAAAAGAATGTCAATTGGATTTACTTGATAAATCAAATTGATTGGGAATGTACCAACTGAACCGTGTCTCTGTTTCATCTGGAATTAATTACTTTAGTATTTAGTCCACAATCACAGAACTTTTTCCAGGAAATTCACCAGGAAATGATCAGGAAATGTAAAATAAAGTGTTGCAACATTATAAAATATTAACACAAGCTGTAGAAATGTATTCATTCCTCTGATGTCTTTATTGAAATATTGTATGAATGTTAATTTATAATCCTGTTAATGATGAGTAGATGAATGGATCCAGTGTTAACGCTCCACTGGACGACAGACTGAAGGAACCTGAACTCTAACTGCTGATCTATTTATTCTGTGTACGTGTATCATGTCGTGGTGATTCTGTTGAGTTAGTTGAGCTCCGAGCTGCGTTCAATAACACCTGTTTCACTGTGTTAGCAGAGCGTCTGTGTGAGATTAATGTCAGCATGGATTTAAAGTTATATGGTTTTGAATGTGCTTTAATGATTTAATGTTGTTACTCTGCAGCAGCGCGTTGAACGCAGCTCGGCCTCCCACACACACACCTGTGATCGTGGATAGTTCACTGTATGGTATTAATATTAATGTTTACAGAATATATGAAGATAGTAATGTACCATATATATGTGAGGAGCATATATATAGATCTAAACACTGAAATATGCAGCGGCCCAGACTGTAGTGTATGTGTGTGTGTGAGTGTGTGTATGTGTGTGTTACAGTGTGTGTATGTGTGTACTTTTGTTGTGTACCTTAGTGTCATGTGATCAGGGCCAACAGAGACGTGTTGATGAATAAAGTTTGTGTGAATGAAGATGACGAGAGTTCAGTTATTGTTTCTGACTCATTTACTCATTTTAATAATGTCAACATAAATATATAAAAAGGTTTTATTATTCTGTAACATTCATTAAACTGTAGCTAACAGCGCCACCAGTGGTTGTTCAGTGAACTGCATCCTGGGCGTCAGCCAACAGTGACAAACTGTCAGCACTGAATGCTGTAAAATAACTGACAATCATATTTAGAATAACATTACTATCTGCAATGTTCCTATTATTTCATTTGGCTCCATGCTACTAACTAGCTGGCTAATAAAGTTATCCGGCGCTGGTCGCCCCACAACACCAACCGACACAGTAACCTGCAAACGGCAACCTGGATGAAGCTAAGTTTTATTCTTTATTGTTAAATTGGATCCACATTAGCTTCCACAAAGTGGTCGCTAGTCTTCCTGCGGTCAACACAAAAACAACTCACACAGTATCAATACAACGGTAAAATACAAATCAAGCTAAATATAAAACTGAGAGGCGCCTGGTTAGCTCAGTCAGTAGAGCTGGCGACCCACATACGGAGTTGCTGCAGCGGGGGTTCGAATCCGACCTGCGGCCCTTTGCTGCGTGTCGTCCCCTCTCTCTCTACAGCTGTCCTATCCAATAAAGCCATGAAAAGGCACCCCCAAAAAAATAATATAAAACTGAGTGATTCTACAATGGAAACAGACACACACAAAATAAAACAAGAACAATAAAAAAGGTCCAAAACACCAAAAACTAAATAACTTCTTTTTAAGATTCTAGCTAACAGTTCATCTGTGTTAGCGAGCAAGCTAACATTATCCAGCTAACACCACAAAAATAATGACTTTGTGACACTAAGTTAATATTCTGATAAACAGATTAATGACTGGAGGAACTTTAAAAACATGATTATTCTCTTTTCATGGATTCATGGAGCTTTATTCTGACGGACATCAGTCCAGACAGACGTGTGCTGTCTGCCTCCGGCCAGCAGGTGGTGCTGCAGGATGACACACTGACTGATGTCTATTTCCAACCTGCAGCAGCATCCTTCCTCCTCTTCCTCCTCCTCCTCGCTGACATGCTGAGTTCAGTTCAACAGACAGAAAGAGGAAGAAGAGAAGGAGGAAGGAAGAGAGACCGAAACACAGACAGAGGCAGAGAGCTGCAGGACGAAGAGTGAGACGGTAGAAATATATAAAGAGAGAGAGACAGGAAGAAGAGAGAGAGACAGATAGATAATATGAAGATTCAACTGTCGCTCTGATCTGACTTGTACTCTACCAGCTGTCTGTCTGTCTGACCACCTGCAGACATGTCCTCCCGGGCTGATAGCAAGACAGGTAAGCTCCTCTCCTCCTCCCTCTGTCACATGCTAACTGTTAGCCACCACAGGCTAACAACATTCACTTCCTTCCTTTACTTCAGAATGTATTATTATTGCAACAGATGCTTTTATTTTGTAGTTTTTGATGATGATGATGATGATGATGATGATGAACTTCCTCTCCAGCCTCCCAGTTTGTGTCTCTGACAATGAAGCTGAAGGATAAGCTCCACCCACGGGTCAAACGCTCTGAACGAATCAAACAAACGTCACAGAGACTCAAACCACCTGACCTGAACCTGCAGGAACACACACTGCAACACAAGGTACACACACACACACTGCAACACAAGGTACACACACACACACACACACACACACACACACTGCAACACAAGGTACACACACA